ACGAAGGATTTAATTATTTTTAATATACATTATAATTACTTTTAATATACATTATTTTTGGAAATATTCGATTACACTGCTCATCTCAATACATTGTATCAATTTAATCGAATTCTGTCGTATTAGGTGGATCAGAATTCGAATAGGTATTAATCGATGGTTTAATTATTTTTAATATATATTATTCTAAAAAATACGATACATTATATCAATTTAATCCAATTCTATTATATTAGGTGGATCAGAATTTAAACAAGTATTAATCGGTTTTAAAATTCATTTAAAAATTAATTTCGAGCAAGGTTTCGAGGCTACATTGTTAAGTGCTACAATATCGTTTTTTCTCTATTTATTATTTAGTTTAAAAAGTCATAGATAACGCTAAAATATTGTTCTAATTAAAGCGATAGGATCAGGACGTTAAGCTGAGATGAAAAACTTTTATTTAATCTTGTTTTCTTTGTGAGGAAAAAATATGTATTGCAATAATCAATATTCGATTTGTATTTACGTATCTATCATTTCGATTTGTATGCATTTACGTATCTATCAATGCATTAATTTCACCCTACACTCTAGAAAATATTGCTACAGATTTAACATCATATCTTTTAGTGTCTTTAATTTTCTGGATATTGTATATCTGTGTTCTGTAACTCTTGTTTTTTGCAACTCACTTGCAAACGGAGAAATGTATGTGCCAAGTTTCGTTACGATCATATTTATTACTATATTTATCATTACATTTCCGCGCGTCTCAATTCAGGCGCGTTTCAGCACTTCGAGTAGGCCGATCCCGATATATCGACCCAAGAAACGAGGTCGATTGTCGCTTACCTCATTGAAAAAGCGGCTCTCTTAGCGGCGGGCTGCGATCAGCACGCCGACGTTCCTCCGTTTCCCGTCTTCGTAATCATCGTCGCATAAATGAAGGACGTAACTTCCACCGTTTCACGATCAATGAGAAGCGATTCACGACAAGCGATACGTTCTCGCGAAAACGCGACCGTCAGTTACGAACACTTGCATAGTCGCGCGACGCACGACGTGACGAACTTGATCAAACGGCGACCGGCAATCCGATCGTCCGTAACGATCATCAGGTGAATACACACGTGCGCCGATCACTCACACCAATTCACCCTCGCATTTTATTTCGAGCTGGCAATCATGCTCGCACTCGCATTGATTAACGAGTATTTGCGTTGACACTTGGCGATAACTCGGTTTCGTTGGAAATCAAATAGCTGCGTTCAGCAAAAAAAAAAAAAGCAGCTTTGCGATGTTGTGAAATTTTTTAATATGATCTTGTCTTTAATTCCTCATTGAATCTAAATATACGTGAACCAATCATATGTTAAAGAATTTCGCAATAATTGTAAAGCTGCTTTTTCTGAGGAATGTGGCCAAAATTTAATGAATTATGAATGATCAGAGATTATAATAAATTTACCATTTGAAATCACGATATCAAATTTACCAGCGTTGAATATAGCCTTCACATCTTTATTTATTATTATTATTATTTTTTTTTTATTAAACTTAACTTCTATTAATAACTTTTATTATTTTGAGTGATCGAATTTAGATTTATTTTATTTTAATACTTTGAACTTATCTATAATATAATAATTAATATTCTAATATTCGGAACTTAAAATATTCCACGAGCGAGATTCGCGACTGGTTTGACCGGTAATCTGAAATTTTTTTTTTTTTTTTAATGAACTTCAGGAGACCACAGTACATTTCAATTCAAACAAGTGTATTGCCGATACTCGACAATGATTTCTTCTCAGAATGAAGTCAAGGTGTACTCGGAAAAGGACGAAAAACGTATTCAAGTGGAACGTCGGAACGACTATCGTCCACCTCGTTATCCCGATCAGTTCGATCTAACGGGATCTCGAAGGACCGTTCTCCAGGAAAAACTTCGGAATAAAAACTCTTGACAGCACCATTTGTTAGTACCAACGACGACGCTTGCCGCGATGAGCAATGACTCTTTCAGTTAACACTACTTTGACGAAACGCTACGCGACGCAACGCTGAGCTGAAGGTTGACCGACCCGTTATATCTCGACCTGTGATCGAGTAACCGTGAAATTTGATAAAACACAAACAAATGCTTTCGGATGATACTGCTTGTATATTCAAGGAGGACCGGTTTCCAGACGTAGGACCACGACGGAGATCCCGAGGAGGACTCACTCGGCGACTTCCCATTATAAATAGTTGCGACCGAGACGACCAGAGGCTCGCGACCAAGTGTAACGGACGTGGAAAGAGGGACCAGAAGAAGGAAGAGGACGGCGATCAAGCCAGAAGGAAATGACGATATGTTGGGTGCTAGCGATGGACTCGAGCGCCCCTCGAGATAGCTCGAACAACTTCGACTGCAGGAGGGAATGCTAATGGTTATTCTACAATGTGCATTTTGTTTCCTTGTTTCTTGCTTTCTGCTATTTTTTACATCTTGTCTTTTTGCTTCTTATCTAGTTTTTTTGTTTTATGTCGCTCGAGATAAAAGTTACCGAACTTCGAAAGAACCAAGAAACACGTAGCAAGAAATACATTTGTCGATAACACGATTGCAAAGGAGAAAAAAAGCAAAGAAACAAGAAGCAAGAAACAAAGAGCACATTGTAGAATAGGCTTAAACGACATGCTCACAATAATTATAGGTCTGTGAAATGGTATACATTTTTAAAACTTAAAATGAGATAAATATACATTTGACATTTATCAAAAGCGAAAAAAATAGTTGTTTCTATTACGGTTTAATGCATTTTTATAGGAATAAAAAAAACAGACACCTTTTTTGCAATCTAAAACCGAAATTGAGGAAAGATGCAAATATATGCATCGATCAAGTATCTATCTCGTTCTTAAAAAAAGATCATTATTTTTTTCGATTTGTTCTGCCTTTTGAAAGATTTTAATTTGTTTTTTCTTTTAAACCGTCGCAATTATTTGTTTTTTGCTGCTAGCTCTTTTATCGTCTTTTGCCTCTTTTCCAGAAAAACCTCTCGAATCGTTAATATTACATGACGACTGAATATTTCCTTAAGAGAATTGTCGCTTAGTCCCTCCGCTGCCGCTACTTGAATGGTCTTAGCAACGCCGGATGAATGAGCAATTAATCACCGGGCCAGGACAGACGGATCGGCTCTATCACTAATCGCGTCACTCTCCTCGTCTCGTCCTCGTTCCACCGTGCCACCATTGTTCTCATCCACGAAGCCGCTTGCAATTCTAATCGCGGTGGATCGTCGCCGCAACGTCCATTCCTCGTCCAGCTCGCGGTGCACTCCTGAAGTCGTCGACGGGCACAAGACTCTATTTCCGATGACGTATCTTTTTTTTCTGGCATTCGCGCTTTGGCTCCTTCGCGAGTCGTCGCTATTTCCGAGGGACTATTTCCTTCGCTTACGTGAATCTCTTAGTTCGACGGGACGAGCAACTTTTCGAACCATTTGTCACGAAGGTACGCAGCAATGGAGGGACCTAAACTCGACTTGTGATTTTTAATTATAATTGCATTTAAAAATTGAAAACTCATAAAATGATGTATTTGAAATCTAAATTTTTCAAATATATGTCGAATTTCTCGCCAAAGTTGCTGCCAAATAATATAATTTATCTAATCAATAATAATTGGAATCAATTTTATCTACTGTTTGCGTACGGTTTGTTGAAAGTTTATGAATAGTGAAATTCATCATTTCATTTCGATGGTGTAACACAAATGTGGTAAGCTGGGGTTTCAAATCAAATTTTAAACTTACATTAAGCAGCGTCTACAATGAAATTGTGATCAATCATATAGTTGATTATTTTTCTCATATTCGATCATGATTGGTCAATTTCTTGTGAAACTCAAGCTTAAGTTTTACACCTTAAAATCTCATTGCAGACGCCGTATCATATCAAATGATGAAAAAACACTTACGTTTTGCGACATTGTTATCATTAACATTTCAGTACAACTCGGATTAATTACTAATAAAGAATTTGGTCGAACGCAATAGTGCATACTAAAAAGTTATGTATATTGATTTAATTTGAACTAAGTAAAGGTGAACTACAACTATTTCGAATTACAAAACACATACTTTACCTAACAGCTAGTGTTGAAAATTTCGCGGTTTAACCCGTCGGTTTATATGTATTTCTATTTTCAGAAAACACAAAGTTACATGTAATATATATCCTTAGTACATAACACATATGTTATACTACAGTTATATTGTTGAGCGGGAAATTATACTAAGTACATGTAACTTGATGCTGGATTAAACATATTTTTATTTACTTCAATATGGCTTTAATGGGTACTAAGTGTGTCCAATCAAATTCGGTATATAAGAATATTCGGTAGAATTTGCGATAGAATACTTATCTCACTCTGAAAACTTCTTTATATTGAAAACCGTGACATAAGTGTATGCTTTATCGCCAACATATTTAATACGTGTCGGCAAAATGCTCCTGTATCTTGTCTCGATAAGTAAAACCGCAAGCAAGTCAGCGCTTCCGTATAGCCAAGGACAACGTATCAATTTTACGATAAGACCTATCGGAAAGCGTCTATGTGTATATGTGTGTATAGCGTAATGTATATAGAATATTTATATATAGAATATTTCGCTTCATACTTTGAGATCGAACATTCTAGTTAGAGGAAAAGATATAAACTGATACAGGGGAAAATACTTTAACTTCAAGCATATTACATAATCAAATCAATGTTTCTTTTTTTAATAAATGCTTTTAACATTTAATATATTTTTCTTCTTTTAAAAATACTGTAGGAGATGATATTGTAGAAGATGGCACGTGTGCGAACTTAAGAAAATAAACATTTCAGAGAACGACGGATTTTTATATGATAAATCATTTTATTTTAATAATTTGTGTGCCTGTGTTTGTACAGTATAATAATAATAATAATAATAGTAATAATAGTAGAGAAGTAGTAGTAGTAGCAATAGTAACAATAAGAGTAGTAGTAGTTTAATAATAGATAATAGTAGAGTAGCAGTAGCAGCCGTACAAGTGACAATAGTAAAATGGTTTTTACTACAGAAGTAGCATCCGTCGTTCATCTCGTCCACTTTGAATCTCGAGGAGGAGCCCGACGGTTACCGGAAGTAGATGGAAAACGTCAACGTTGTAGGCATTTCTACCGACTTGGCCACTGACTACGCTTCGATCTTTGTTCGAAAAGTGTTAACGAGACTGTGCAACGATCATTTCTTGAAATTTTTGAGATACGCCTTTACATCCTTTATTCCTTAACATCCATAAAGGTGCACCGAAGCAGCCAGAAGATTTATTCCTCCTCTTCCTCCTCCTCTTCTTCCTCCTCCTCCTCTTCCTCCTCTTCCTCCTCCTCCTCTTCCTCCTCTTCAACCTCCTCCTCCTCTTCCTTCACCTCCTCCTCCTCTTCTTCGTCGAATTGTGGCTCGAGATCATCGTCGACGGCGGCCTTCACGTCTTCCTCGCCCTCCGGTGATTCGGGATCACCAACCTTCTTGCCTGGTCTCTCACCGAACCACTTAGGTAATTTCGCTATTATTCATGCAAAGTGACGGATTAATTTTGCACAATTCGGAGAAGAAATACGCGAATACGCTAAATGTATATTGGATTATAATTCTTCGAGATTAAATAATGACAAGTGCGGAGAAATTTTCAATGGATATTCGAAATTAAAGTAAAAACGTTTTATTGCTTCGGAAATAAATTTCTACTAATTTTTGAATTATAATCAAGTCGATCATTATTATATGTATGATATAATAAGGGGAAAATAAAAGTTTTCTTGAATTTTTCCCTATAATTGTACGTTTGTTGTGTACTTCGACATTTCGAGGAGCACCGGAAGCTCTTTTAAAGTTCTTAATTCCGGTGCCGGCTCGAAGCTTCGAAAGCGAATTTCATACGTACTCTTCTGACGACCCATAAACTGCTCCTTTTGTTGGGCCCACATCTTCTCGATGATCTCCTTCTGCTGTTCGGTCAGACCCTGAAACATCAACGGACAGAATGGCATGCTAGGGGTTACTTTCACACATCAGGATCGCCTGGGAAAACCCTCTCTCTCCGTACTGTTGCTTTCTCTGGGTTGTACAAATCTTCCCGTGGCGAAGTTAGGGCTGACAATCACGATCGACAGAATTAACGTCACAAAGGTCATCTATTTTCATGATCGTGTCTTCTAGTCTGGATCTACGATCTTCGACGCTCGTTTCTGACATTCGAAGAATGGATTCTCGGATTTTGCGCGTAGAATAAGGATAAATCAAACATCCATCCTTAACTGTTCAGGGGAAAAAAATATCGAGGAAGTTGTGATTTCAGAACGTGAAGTGACATGAAACAAATTTGCAGACGCCGACACAGTTATTAAGAGCGAGATTATTTTCGTGATTGATGACTGCTGTCGCATCTCTCTTGGGCAGTGCACGTGAAGAAAATCGCCATCGGTGTGTGAGCCACAAATACGGTTTGCCGTGCTTTTATGTACACCATTGAGACAACACGAACACAGCAATAACTTGGCTGGCAGCCATTTCGACCGTTTAGTCAACGAGAACAAGGAACAAGTACATAAATTAGAAACACGGTCATCCGTGAGATTTTGGAGATTACAATCAGCAAGACAAGCAAGGGGAGGTGGATACAGTGATAGAGAGATCACGGTTGAACTCACTTTTGTTGCGCTTCATAAATTGTTCTGTTTTCTGTTTCCACGTTTTCTCGCTGGTCTCCGCTAAGAGCGTGTCATAGCCCTGTGATTCAATCGACAATATGCTCACTAATCGCTAGCTTTATACATATGTTTATGTTAAGTTTATTCCTACAATGTCTTATAATTTATTTATTAATTATGTAACGGAAACGAATTCCTACTTTTATGTATATGTGTATATATATTATAGTATCTTCATATCTGATAGAGCACGTGTATTTGAATGTAAAAACTTCACGTGAACATGTCGCAAAGTGAGATAATTCTGGGTTTGACCTCGTATTTTGAGAGTAGGGATCATCGAAATTATATAATAGATTTTCATGTGTCGAATAAATTTTGAAGTATACTTACACCCTCAAAAAGTTTCTTCTTGTCATCGTAAGACCTGGTATCGACGCGACGTTCGTACTTGGAGGCGACTTGGATTTTCGGCTGTGAATAAGCGATTTCATTAATACGATGATACTTCCCACTTTGCCACTTTCATTTTCTGATATGATAGACGTTACGTACGGGATATTTGCCAGTTAAAGCCTCGGGATCGAGACCCTTTTTCAAGGCTTTGTGCCTCAGTTGTTGCTTCTGACGTTCCTTCAGCTCTTTAAGCTACGATAAAAAAAGGGTAATATCGATTTATCAATACGGCTACAAAACAACTTAGACTATAATTAAACCCGCGTCCGAGCAACTTATTTCCCAAGCGGAAACAGTCAATGTATATTTTTCGTATTTTTTTGCTTTTTTTTCTTTTTTTTTTATTTTTATTAGACCCAATGGTATAAAATTATTATGCGCGCATATAAATAAATCCATCCTTATGCAATCTTTTACTTGTAAAATGTTTTATATAATAACAATTCAAATTTTATTAAGAATACGAAGAATAAATTTATATTGTTCAAATAAGGCGAAATAATTCAGTACTTATAAAATTGTAAAAACTCACATCGTAGTCCTGACGCTTTTGTCGCTCCTCCAAATCGTACTTTTCGGTTTCAAGTTTGACTATGGCCTCCCACAATTCGGTAGCCTTGCCACGAAGCTTGTCAATCGACAGACCTTCGATTTCCAACGGCTTGATGCGAATGCTAAGGGAAATTTTCTTCTCCTCCTCAAGCTGTTCTTTTGTCTTGTTACGTTCAAGTTGAGCCGACGTAAGATTACCCTAAATTCACATAAGAGAATCCTAGTTATAGAACATCCAATAGCTGCTGATAATAAAAAGAACACTCACCGAAAGATCTTTCTTAGTGATGGTAAAGTTTGGACCCTTTGCTTTGCTCTGGTCTTTCATCGCTTGCATCATAGCCTGTCGCTTCTTTTCCGATTCTTCCAGGCGCCTAATATATGCAAATAAATGTAGAAAATAAAAATAACGCGCAAATATGTACATGTAAAAAAATTTAATAAATATATATTTACAAGTTTAATCAATTAAACTTCTTTGAAACAACTTATGTGTACGAATATAATTGATAATTTTTTCGATTTCAAATAATCTACATTTTGATAAAGATGGAGAAAGACCAAATTAGAATCCTAATTGGCATGCATAGAATATTTACATTGAAACGATTATACAACAGTAAAGTCAAATTACTTACATCGTTAATGATCGCAAAGATGTTACATAGAATAAATAAATTCACTAACGATGGCAAAGAATATCATACAGCATTTTTGTGTTCATTAATGATATAAATAATTTGACATTCCTGCGATTGTCACGTAACTGCGACATATTAATGTCTACACATCGACAATCGATTAATTCTTTCTTTCATCAATATTTTGTATCAAAGAAATTCTTTTTATTTACTCTATTTAATTAATTTCTTGTTTTAATCTAAAACTGAAGATTCAACTGTTTAAAAAGCAATCGATATTGATGTGACAAAATTTGTTATGCATAAAATAATATACTCGTTTAGAAATCTTGCATTCATTATGAGAGATATTAGCCGGTATTCATAGTCGGTTCTTATTTAAAGACCGTTTTGAATGAAGTCTCTTAAGACTGTAGTAAACTGTTCACACACAGTATCACACAGTATTAGCATTTTAATAGGCATTACGTAGACATTACTTAGACATTATTTAAGGCATTATTCTCTTCAGACAATTTTCAAATAAAAATAAATTACGACCATTATATATCGACCATTATGATTCGTATCCATAACGTGCTTATAACTATTATATGTTAACGCGTATTTAGGACATAATTTACGTTACATACACTATAAAATTTTAAAAATAAAAGCGCGCATTTATCGATGAAACCATATTCTGAATACAGGCCAATAATTGTATAAACACCTACCTCCTCTTCTCTTCGATGTCACGTTGTTTTTTCTCCTCTGAAAAAAGTTTAAAAAATTGTATTAAATTCTATTTAAAGAAGAAAATAGAGATAGACGTAAATGCATTTACCGATTTCACGTTGGCGACGTTCCTCCTCCTCCTTCTTCTTCTGAGCCAATCTCTTCTCCTCGTCTGCACGGGTGACCTTGCGCTTGGCTTGCTTCTCCTAAAACAGTATATTTTTTAAATCAAATAAAATATTAAACAAGAAGATATCAAGTACAAATAAGGACAGATCGTACCTTTAATTTCTTCAACTCCTCCTCCTCCTTGGCTCTCTGTTTTCGCCATTCCGCAATGTATTCTTTGAGCTGTTCGTCGAGGTCGCTTCTTTTCTGTTCTTGCCTCTGAATTTTTAATTACAGATTAGCCCGTAATGCGTATTTGATTGTGTTTCTTGTAACGATCGTGCCAGTGCTCAATATACCCTCCAATGCGATTGATAGACAGAACTAAGTGAGACGTGACTCGTTAAATTGATGTCAAATCGATACAATAATTTCTCCATCAATTCAACATTGATTCAATATCTGATTGTCGGTCATTTCTTGCTGGAATGATAGTTTTCACCAATATTCAATATTACATTCCGCTTTTCCGCAAAAGATCCTTTTACTAGTGTTAGAAAGTGCTAAAAGCGCGAAAAGTTTTGGGCATTCGCACGATTGTTATTTACGAGCACCAACACTCACCTTCATAAACTCAGGATTCTCGCCAGATTCCCTGAAGGAGGCCGGAGTGAAAACAAAAGTAACTCTCTTTAAATCACGGTTGAGCTCGCTCTCTGGAAGATCTCGCGAGATCCCCCAGAACTCCATACGCGATTCTCACGTCCATATCTTCACTACTTTATTACAACTCCATCCATTCTCTCCCGTAGTGCATATTATTCAATGCCGCTCGTCGCACGTATACACACACAGACAACACATGGGCGGAACAGACAGACAGATATATGCACGGACGGATAAACAGAAAGACAGAGAGAAAAAATAGAGCGGGACAGAGGGAGGGAGCAGAGGCGACTTGTGAAAGAAAGAAAATAAAAGACAAGAGGAAAGAAAAAGAAAGAGGCAAATAGTAAAGGCGACAATGTGCAAGCATATAGAATTATAGAAAGAAGAAATCAAAGTGCGCACCGCAGCGAATCAGGGGAGAAGGCATTAATGAGAGTAGCGAGGAATATTTCATCCCAGGTAGAACACAGAATCGTAATAAAGTCGTAATAGAACATCATCGTGACGTTATTTGGTACTTAAAAATGAACTTGTAACAGATAAATAAGGTCACGATGGTGTACTTGACAATTTTTATTATGATTTCTGGGTTCTACTTGAGATGACTGTCTTGGTTGAGTTATTCGGTCGTAAGGATTATGAATTCGTAAATGATTGAAAGAGCTGTCGGAGATAATAATAGCGTGTCGAGCGTGATACGCTTTAGGAGATGATACAATATTGAGCATCGCAGGCTCAGAATTGTTTTTAAATAGATTTAACATAAATTCGTTTGATTTTTCAAACTGAACTGGAGATCAATCTGTAGGAATTCATGGAGATGTTTGTGTCTTGAAGGACACTCGAAGAAAAGGGTAGGATGCCGCAATCGTTATTAGACTTCGGCTCTCCTTCGGCTTTATTTTAAAAGGTAAGGTTCTAGTAAAATTTGTTGTTTTTGTCATACATTTTGTCTTTCTTTTTTATAATTTACATCATAAAAGATGTCATCGGAATGTAAGAATTGTTTATTCATGGGATCTGCGGGCGGGGGTATTGCAATTATTGCTTGCTTGCGAGTCGATGAATTATGGCGCAAAAGTCAATATAAATTAATATGGGGGATCGGACAAAATAACGAGCCTTGAGATAGAAGGACGTGTGACACATCGCTTTGACGTAACTCGAAACAAGACGTGATTATGTACAACTCGTTAATTCATTATTAATCAGAGAGACAAAACGTAAAACACGCGGGGGTGCGAAAGAGATATAAAGATTATAAAGTATGAGGAGAACATAAGGGGAGAGGAACCTCGAACACTGATAACGAGCGATTAGACGTCATCGACAGGATTGAAATCCAGAGCGTCGAA